CTTTGGCATTCCTGGAGGGATTTCAGTTTCTGCCTGGCTCCGAAGGTCCCTGCAGGGCAGCTGTGCTGAGAGCTGCTGCTGGTCCCCGCCGGGCAGAAAAAGCCCCGTGGGCAGGGGTAGAGGGTGACATCGATGAGTGGCCCTTGCTGGCTGTCACAGTAAAACCCTGCAGGGACAGGGGGAAGAGCTGAATTTAGCTCAGAGCAGCTGCTCAATAGGCAGGAACAGCTTCTCCAGGCACACAGACATCTCACAGGATAAACCTGCTGCTGGCCTTAAATAGCTGTTGATGTGAGCCACTGCTGCTGCACAAACGCACTGCACCCTTAACAGGAAATTTAATTTTCTTAACAGGAAATTTAACAGCCAGTGGTCCCCAAAACCAAGACAAGACTTACAGATGACACAGGAAAACACTTAATGACCCAGCATTGATCTCTCTGTTTCCCTGCAGCCACTGAAACACTTCAAGGAAAGTTTTCCCTCTGAACATCAGAGTTTTTTCCCCATCAGTGTTCAAATTGCTCAGAATACACAGATGTTGCTATTTGTGCTTTCACATCTGAGCTGCTTTTACCTCTAATGGGCTTTTCAGAGAGCTAGAAAATGTTCTCCTCCAGTACAGAGAAGAAACCATGTGGGCAGAAGCTCTCTGATCATGGGAAGGCTCCAAAGACAACAACAAGCTGTCATCTCTTGTCTGAGGGGAGCACAGAACAACATTTGGATCCTGTAAAACCAACTCCCGTTTTCTGCATGTGCAGCACCTCTGTCAGATCTCTCAGCTGGGAAATTGTTTTTCCACTCCAGCGACTCACAGAAAGCCATTTATTTTGGATTTGTCACCCACAGTGCTCTGAGCACGTCCCCAGGGGCTGTGACAGCCTGCAGGACACTCTGCTGCCCTCTCACCTTCCCAGCACTCCCCAGTGGGGGCACTGAGGCCAGGCTGCTGGCAGTAGAAGCCAGAGGGGCAGGGCTGGCACTCAGACAGTGCTCTCCTCCCTGCCAGGCTGGAGAAGGTGCCCGCTGGGCAGAGCTGGGGCGCTGCTGATGCTGCAGCTGCAAGAGAAGCAAGAGAGAAATAAAAAATGAAAGAATGAATGAGATGGCTGCACTTGGGGGTTGGATGAACACAAAACAGCAGAAAGGTAGTCTTCTTTTCCACTCAGAGATCCAACAGTGCTGCATGGGGTGGAATAGAAATCATTTGCTTCGTTTTACCCACAGGTGGATCCAAGATACTGAGATATTGAGACAAAGATGTCATCTCCCACTTTGAGAGGAAGGGGAAGAATTCAAGGAAGAAACTTTGGCTTTGGCACCATGGTCAGACCCCAGGCAGTTGGCTGCCACACCCTGGGAGTGTTTCAGGAGTTCTGTGCCATGGAATCTCCAGTGCTGGGTACCCACTGCAGTAAGAGCCCGCGGGGCAGATGTTCCCGGTGACACCATCCGTGGGTTTGGGGCCAGCAGCTCCCCCTGCACAGTAGAAGCCAGCAGCACATTCCCCACTGGGGACAGGCAGCCCTGCAAGACAGAGAGGATGGTGGCACTCAGAGCACTGGGACAAAGAGGGAAAAGCAGGGAAAACAACTGCTCACAGCCTCCCTCTGGGAGACACCATGGGCATCTGGCAAGCACTGCTACATCCCCAGGGGAATGCCAGGAGAATCCCCCCAAAACTGCTCTTCCCCACAGACACCAACCTGAGGCATTGCAGAAGAGCCCCGGGGGACAAGGAAGAGGCTCTGGGCTTCCCTGGGGGCAATAGAAGCCAGCTGTGCACTTGCCCCCGGTGGCAGTGGCTGGGCACAGGCAGTTGGCACTGGTGTAGTTGTCCAGGTCAAAGGGCTGCGAGGTCCAGGCTGCTGAGATGCAAAACCAGCCTGGGAACGGGAAAAGGGACTGAGGAGCTCTGGCAGTGACAGAGCCCCACAAAACCATCACAAATGAACCAGCTGGGGTGGCTTCGGGTGTGATGTGGGCACAGCAAAGGGTGTGGGACAGGTTCATCCCACCAAAGTTTAACTCCACCAGGCCTGAATTTCCCATGGAGCAGTACGTCCAATTTAATACTATAAATACCATATTAACAAAGAGATCTTGCAACATCAAGTTCAGTACTTTGGCTTTATGATCACAGGGCTCAGCTCAGCTGCCTGAGCAGGCTCAGAGGGCAGGGACTGCTCCTGGCTACCAGGCACAGCCTGGGGCCCAGCAGAGACATGTTCAATCCTACTGGATACCTCCAGAGATCTCGGGGTCTGGGTGTCAGGATGACCCCAGGAGTGTAAAAGTCCTCATTTCCCAGCCCGTGCAGCCAAAGGAGTCTGAATGCACAGGATCAGCTTCTCAAGGTTGTTTATTTTCCCTTATCTAGAACATTCTTTCTCTGACCTGCTGAGCTCTGTCCAGCAGCTCGGCCATGGCATTCTGTCTGTCCTCCTGGGCATCATTTACAATTTATACTAAAAACTACCTGTACTATGTTTACAATAACGTGCCAATATCTATAATTTATGTTGGACAGTGCGTCTCTACTTTAAACCAATGGAAAAGTGTCACCATCACACCAAGACATGGAAGACAAGAAGGAGGAGGTCAGGACATGCCCAAATCCTCCATCTTGTCCTCTTGATCCCCATTCTAAAAAACATAAAATTCTACTTTTTCACCCTGTGTTATTTCAACTACCACACTGCTCAAACCCTTGTGGCTTGTAATTCCTCACACAGACTTGGCAGTTTTTTTCCAGGGGCTAAAATCAAAGCCACAGGTGTTTTTGACTTTGTGCCCGGGTCTCTGGAGCCAGCCAGGGCAGCCAGAGGGATGAGCTGGACTCTGACACAGAGAACCCAGCAAACAGACTGCAAGGGCTGTGCTGAAGCTGCGGGGTGAAAGCATCACCCTGCCGAACACCCTGTCCCCAGTGTCACCCAGCAGCCCCACACTCACCTGGGTCACAGCTGCCTGAGGCCGCTGGCAGCCCCTCCTGCCCGCAGTAGTGCCCAGGGGGGCAGGGCAGGCAGCTGTCCAAGCTCTGGCTCATGGGGTCAGGGTTGTAGTAGCCCCTGGGACAGGGAAACGCTGTGGCAAACCTGGTGCCTGTGGGATAAAGAGAGCAGGAGTCTTTCATGGAATATAATCACGATCCTTCCACTGAGTTCTGCCGCATCATTTCACGTCCTCTTTGGCAGTTTATCCCACTCTTTATCCCCTCATGGCCAAAATTGTGTTTGGGCGCTGTTTAATTTGTGAAGCTGTTAAGCAACAGCCACATCTACAGCTTAAAATATTGTTTTGTATTTTTTTTTTTCCTAACCACATCCAAAAATACACTTAAAAAAAGTCATTCAAACATGTAAAAGAATATTTTTGGACATATTTTCCTGTGAAGAACCAGGCTGACAAATATTTTATTAACAAAGATCATTTCTTGTCTTTAAGAAGGATGTTTCAGCCTGGCCAAAGGACTGCTGGGTTCTCTGGGCCCATCTCACCTTTGGGGCAGTAAAATCCAGCTGGGCAGGGGTTTGTGCTGTAGCTGGTGGTGTTTTCTGGGCAGAAGTAGCCTGCAGCACAGGGGAAGCAGGCAGCTTGTCTGGAGAGGTTGTTGTAAGTCCCTGCAGGGCAGGGCAAGGGAGAGCTGGTCCCTTCTGGGCAGAAGTGGCTCACAGGGCAAGGACCTCCTTTGTGCCTCACACCTGGGACACAGGCAGGAGAAGCAGGGGTTGGAAATCTCCTCTGGAAATGATTATTTGAGCCAGTCAAATGGCAGTGGCTGTGCTCATTGCAGGCAGACCCCCATGACTGCCCCAGTGCTCAGTGCAGGCGTTTCCTGCAGTAACACTGGCATGTGTGTGATGCCTTGTGCAGGCTGAGCTAGAACAGAGCTGGGCAGAGCTGAAGAATAAAGCAGGGATTTATTAAAGGATCTCCTCCATGGATCCACCTTGGGCAGCACCAGAGCTCATCCAGGGCTGCACCCAAGATGAACCAAAATGGTCCCAAAATGAACCCAAGATGAACCAAAATGGTCCCAAAATGCACGAGCGCTCCCGGGGGCTCTCCCTGGGATCAGTTCTGCTCCATTGGCACCTTGGAGTTCATTGTCCCATTCCAGCTCCAGCCCATCAGTCCCATCCTGCTTGTTTTTCTCTCTCCAGCCCACGGTGTTTGTGCTCCTGGGCTGAGGTTTGGATCATTTGTCCTTGGTCCCAGCTGGAGCAGGAATTGTTTTGTGTCCCTGCTCTGTGCACAGAGCTCAGCATCCCCTCATGTGAAGCTCAGATCCACACACTGAAGCAGCACAGAATGTGAAAAACATAAAAGCTAAAACCTGAGGCATCATTTGGCCCAAACCCCTCTCTCAAAGAGAATTCACACAGGAATCTGGATGACTGACAGGAGGCAGGGCCGGGAATCCTGGGAGGGAAGGTGGGACACTGGGAGGGAAGGTGGAACACTGGGAGGGAAGGAAGGTGGAACACTGGGAGGGAAGGTGGCATGGTTGAAGCTGCCTGTCACCTGAACCCTGGATCACCCAGTGCCGCTCACCGGGCGGTGATGGTGAGGAAGCACCAGGCTGGCAGAAGTACCCAGGTGAGCAGGGTCCTGAGGGGGCTGTGAGGCCAGGGGAGCCACAGAACTGGCCAGGTGGGCACTCTGTGCAGCTGGAATCCTGCCCGTTGTGGAGCCTGAGAGGGACAGAAGCAGCGTTTCAGCTGGTGAGTGGTAAACTCAGCCCTGGTGAGTGACAGCAGCCACAAAACTTTTCTGATCAATGCAAGGATGTCTAACGAGCCTCGCTGAGCTTCACTCCATTGCTTAGGGGACTGATGGAGAAGCAGAAATGAAAAGAAACTAAAAATTAGCATCAGCAGATCCACAGAGCTTCACCTGTCTGAGTAAGTGCCCACAGGGCATGGCTGGGGGATGCTGGTGCCAGCTGGGCAGAAGTGTCCAGGTGGGCAGGGGCCACCACTGCTCGTGTTTGAGGCTCCACTGGGGTTTGGGACACTTGCTCCTGCACGAGGAAGATAAAGCAGAAGTATCCTGAATTATTTGGGTTGTTTCTCATAGGCAAGTTTTGCTCCCCATGGCTAAAAAGCCATTTCTACAGGGGAAAGAAAGAGGAGCTCATGGTAGCTCATGGCAGTAAAGGCAGAGATCCATGGTGAAATGGAATAAATAGCAGCAAGGACCATAAAGACCAGAGAATAATTTCTATAGGTGAAAGAAGAGAGGAGCTGGTGGTAACTCACGGCAGTAAAGGCAGAGATCCATAGTGGAATGGAATAAATAACAGCAAGGACCATAAAGGCCACAGCTCCCCACCTTTTCACTCTTTCTGCCCTCTGAACCCTAATTTCTGTACCTGCTGTGCAGAAGAATCCTGGCCAGCAGGGACCACTGGGAGAGGATAATCCCCATTCTCCACAGAACATTCCTGGAAGAACAAAAATAGAAAATGTCAACATTGAGGCAGGATGGGAACAAAGAGAATCTAATTCAGAAGACAAGAATTGGACAACAAGAGAGACAGAGAATTATGAACATTCCTTTCCAGCTCTTTCCCAGGCCCAGTCTGGTTAGAAAACCTCTCTTTTCCTCTCTGACTGAACTGAAAATATCCATAGGAAAAGAGAATCAGCAAACTGGGAGAATAAAAACCAAAAAACCCTAGGAGAGCTGCTGTGCTGCATGCACTTTTGGAAGGCAAAGGGAAGACTTTGAGAAATCAAATCCCTCAGCATCAGCACAAGTGAGACAGAACCCAATCCTAATTCAGCTCATCTCCTCTGGGAAACCCCAAACCCTTCTGCACAGCCTCCAAAACCCTGTGGGGACACCACCAGTGGGACCAGGATCCTCCTTTGACTGTGGATTTGTATGTTTGCATTTCCTGGAGGCCAAAACCTATCAGAGGAACGGGGAAGAGAGAGCTGCAGAGAGGTCATCACCCCCTTAGACATGTCCCAAGAGAGCATTCCCTCACCTGCAGGGCACTGCTGGCACCTCTCAGCACGGCTCAGGCCGTAGGAGGGGTTGTAAGTCCCAGGAGGACAAGGATTAAAACTGATCCCAGTTTTCTGAGGGCAGTAGAACCCGGGAGGGCAGCGGCGCCGGAGCCCCTTTGAACAGTGAAACCCAGCAGGACAAGGAAGGCATTTGTCTTGGCCTGAGAGGGAAAAAAATAGGAATTACAAGGAAGCATGGGATGAAATGGAAGGAAAATACCACATGCACAACATCCCTCTGCCTGTTTGTGCACTTAAAGAAGCAGAAATCGAGATAAAGCTATTTTTTATGCTCTCCCACAGTAACTGGCCTCAAATATGGATTTCTCCTCGGAGCATTTAGTTCAGCAAACTCCACTCCACCAGCCCGAGTCACCTCCACGTGTCCCCATTAGGTGACAGGAGGAACAGAGGGAAAGCTGGAAACTGCTGCCAGCCCTGGAGCACGGAGTGCCACCGCCACAAACCCAACACCACATGGGCTGCTGCAGGGGGAATACATTCCTCATGTGACACCAGGGGAAAAATAACAGAACATCCCTGCTCCACCCCTTTCTCTACCCCAGTCCCCAAAATATGGAATATTCCCAGCGGCCAGCAGCTTTCAGGAACTTCTTGGATACCAACAAAAGCTGCAAGCTTCCATCTCCCTGAGTCACACTGGAGTTGCAAAGCTGCAGCCCCTGACCTGGGGCATTGCTGCAGCTCCTGACCTCCTGCATTTTGGCAGTTCCTGACCTGCTGCATTTCTGCAGTTCCTGACCTGCAGCACTGCTGCAGCTCCTGATCTGTGCCACTGCTGCAGCTCCTGTTGCAAAGTTGCAGCTCCTGACCTGCTGCATTTCTGCAGTTCTTGACCTGTGGCATTTCTGCAGCTCCTGATCTGTTCCACTGCTGCAGCTCCTGTTGCAAAGCTGCAGCTCCTGACCTGCTGCATTTCTGTAGCCCCTGACCTGTGGCGTTGCTGTATTCCCCGCTGGGGCAGGGGGAAGGTGCTGCTGAGCCTGCAGGGCAGAAATGTCCTCGAGGACAGAGACCTCCAGTGATGCCATCCTCTGGTTTTGCAGTCTTTGTCCTCCCCGTGCAGTAATAGCCTAAAAACAGAAAACACTGGAGCTCTTCCCCCAAGTCAAAACCCATTTCTGAGAAGCTTCACAAGTTCTCAATCTCAAGATGCACCAAGGGAAACACAGGTTGAATTTTAGGAAAGGTTTTTTTACAGAAAGGGTGATAAAGTTCTGGAATGGCTGCCCAAGAAGGTGGTGGAGTTACCATCCCTGGGTGTGTTTAAAACAAGCCTGGAGGTGGCATTGGGTGCCAGGGTTTGGTTGAGGTGCTGGATTGGACTCGATGATCTTTAGGGTCTCTTCCCACCCAGTGATTCTGTGAAATCTGGGAATTATGTGAATTCTGTCTTTGTCTCACCTCGTGCACAAAGTCCCCCGGGAGCATCTTGGCCAGACATGTTGCAGAAAAACCCAGGGGCACAGGGCAGGCACCAAGTGACATCCTGGGCTCCTCTCTGGCCATTCCAGGTGCCAGCAGGACACGGCATCTCTCTGGGGTGCCCGGTGCCAGCTGGGCAATAATGTCCTTGTGGGCAAAGATCTCCAAATGGAAGCCCTACCTGAAGGGAATTGAAATTCAATTTATTGTGGTCCATGAGAGCTTTGGTAAAGGTCCTGAGCAATGTAAAATGTTCATCACTCACAGGTGAGGAGGTGCTGGAGCCTTGTGAGCAGTAATGTCCAGGCTGGCAGTGCCCCTCTGGCTCGGGCAGCCCAGCCCTGCTGCAGAACATCCCTGCAGGGCAGGGTTTGCAGGAACCTGCCCTCTCCACATCCGAGTAAGTTCCCTGCACAGAGACAGCCACTGCACGCCCTGCCCAGGGATGGAACCCTCCTGGAAATGGCTGCTTGGGAAACAAATCCGTGTTTGACTCTTACCATGGGGCATGGGAGAGGCACGGAGCTGCCAGCCGGGCAGAAATGGCCTTTGGGACAATCCTGGGGGTCAGCCAGGCCTGGCTCACTGCAGAAAGTCCCCTCAGGGCAGTCCCTGCAAAGAGACTGAGCACGGCCCTGGAAGACAGCACAGAGCCTGGCAGGGGTGGGGTGTTGCTCTTACCACGAGAATAAATGAATTTTGTGAGTTCTACCAACTCCCTGCTGCAAAATGAACACTGAAGGGAATGACCTGCAGCCCAAAAGCAACAAATTTGGGGTGCCTGCAGCACGAAGGCATTGGCAGGCACAGCCCTGATCGTCACAGAAGTGAGGGAAATGCACAAGTTAATTCACCCCTGCCAGGCCAAAGACTCAGCAGCCCTTCCAAATTTCTACTGTGCAAGAAAACTTAACAGAAAGTGCCAGATGAGGAGTAGGCAACAGGCCTGGACTGATGGATTTGGTGTCTTCACCCGAAGCTTGTGGTTCTTCTTCTGTTGCAGGGTAAAAGCAAAGCAGGTGGTGATTACCCAAATTAGCAGAAATTCCCCAAAGCCTCCTTTTTTTCAAGCTGACTGCTTCCACACACCTCAGGAATTTCTGCTCACACATTTTCAGAGTTTCCAAGGGTTCTGCTGACCCCCCAAGCTGGGACCCCGAGGTACTCACGGGCTGGAAGGTGCCGAGGGGACACGGCTCTGGTTTGAAAGCTCCTGCTAAGGAATAATGTCCCTCCACCACCACATGCTGGAGAGCACTTTTGGCCCCTCCTGTGCAAAAGTAACCGGGTTCACAAAGTCCTGAGGGGGCTTGGTTGTTTGTCCCATCACAATACAAGCTAAATTGAGAAAAAAACAAATTTGGGTAGCAATAATGCCTTTTTTTTTTTTTTTTTTTTTTTTTTTCCCACTGGAAAGCACAATCCCAATTTAAAAAAAAAAAATCCCTGGAATTTTAGAGACCGGATTCATGTTTGCTTCCAGAGCTGGAGGACACTCACCCAGGTGGGCAATCCAAGCACTCCTGGAGGCTCCTCAGCCCACTGGTGTTGCTGAAGGTCCCTGGGGGGCAGGGGATGGGGAAGGCAGAGCCAGGTGGGCAGTAGGAGCCAGCAGGACACACAGCTCCTGTCACACCATCCGTGGGCCACTGAAAATGGAAAAAGGATCATTAAAAAAAAAGGGAGAAAATTATTTTAAGTATTTAAGGCATTAAACTGATGTAGACAATAAAGAAAACAAAAATAAAGGCATGCTCTTGTGCAGAGAACAGAAAACACTGACTTAAGGAAATTCAAAGAGAATAAATAGAGATGAAAATTTACACTGATTCACACCCACTGGACTTTTTACCTGGTGACCTTTTAGTTAAGAGGGTGTCAGTGTTGAAAGGGGAAAAATATGACATGGCCACACTCCCTTTGAGGGTCCTCGTGACATAAACTTGAGCGTGAGCAGCACAAAATTGTGACTGTCCAAATCACCGGGTTCAAAAAAAGGGGAAAATAAAACAGCGCAAAAAAGAAGAAGAGGAGCAAAACTCATCAGTGGGACTTACTGGAGTCAGAGCCCTGCCCAGGCAATAAAACCCAGCCTCACAGGGCCCACTTGGGCCAGTCTGTCCTGGGGCAGCACAGTAGGAACCCCGAGCACAGGGGCTGCACCCCGAGGCTCCTGTCAGCCCCTGCCTGTCACCAAATGTCCCCTCCGGGCAGGGCTCGGGCTTGGAGCTGCCTTCGGCGCAGTAAAAACCCTACAAAACAAAGCCAGATGTCTACAATCAAGGTTTTTCTATGAAATAAATCCCCCAGAGCAGCTTCTTCCATGAGAGTGTCAGGAAAATCCATCTACAAACACCAGAGGTTGATGTCCAAAAAGCAGACAGAAGAGTCCTGTAACTTCATTCCAATAAAGGGAGAGGCCATGGGGCATTCCCATGTGGTCTGTTAAATTTTTAGGTGACACAGCCTCCTTTTTATCCCAATTTCCCAGCCACATTTCCCTCTATCTTTCCCACTGGCTGAGGTACTTGAGAGGTTCAGACTACCCGGAACACTGATACCAAAGATTCCCCTCTAATGTATAAATGTATAAACCTCCCTTTTATTTTTTAATTCTTATGAAATTTAGGGTTTCCCCCGTTGTTTCTTTCATATTTTAATATCCAATTTAATTTATCAGCAAACCTACAGCTTATTTGTGAAAGCAAACATCTTTTCCCGTTCGTCAATCAATGGAATCCTTACCCATTTTTTTTTTTTTAGCTTTTTTTTTTTTTTTTTTTT